GGGGGGGGGGAGAGAGAGAGAGAGAGGGAGAGAGGGTGAGCACGAAATGCGGGGGCTTTGGCGTACCGAGTAGAAAAAGCCCTTATGGTCGTGAGTCCAGGAGAGGTAGGAGAACTTGACCCACTCAATCTGGCCGTCGGGATGGTCTTCCACCTGGCCGGGAGCCACGGAGCGCACGCGCACCGTCACCCAGTCCGAACCGCCGGAGCTGACACCGTACGCCAGCCACTCGCCATCCTCGCTGATGGAGAAGGTGTTCATGGAGACGGTACCGTCCTCGGAGAACTGGGCCAGCGAGCCAGCCAGCCAGCCAGCGCAAGCGGTGTCAAAGATGGACAAGTCGGGCAAAACCACGGTCAGGGAAGTCGGCCAGGGAAGGGGGCGCGATGTCGGTCGTGACGTACGGTGTTCAGGTCGAGCAGCACACGCGGCTCGGCGTCCGGGCCGTCCATGACGTACAGAACATCCTGCGACTGGAGGCCGGTGTTGTGGAAGTAGAAGATCCGGTTGCCATACACGAAGGGAGTGGAGTACTTCTCGAAGTTGAAGAGCTCGGTCATGCGCTTCTTGAACTGCACCAGCATGGGGGAGTTCGACAAAGGGGGAGGGGGGAAGGGAGGGAAGCACATGGGAGGGAGGGATGGATGAGAGATGGGTCAGTACGGGAGAGCTCCATGGCGAGGGGTGAACACGGGGGGGGGAGATCGCCCGGAGGGCCAGCGTGCGCACCGGCTCGCGGGAGGGGTAGCTCTCGATGAACTTCTTGGAGATGATGTTCTGGGCGTCGACGAAGGCCTTGGTCTCCTCGCTGTGGGGGTCCTCGAGCCAGCGGTACGGGTCGCGGACCTACGGGCACCGGCAGGCACCGGGGCAGCACCCGCCAAGGGGAGCATGGGCAGGAGGGTCAGCGGTTATGGGGGGCAGAGGATGACAGGGTACACTCTTGGCACGCACCTCCACACCATGGAGGTTCTCGACGAAATCCTCGTCCCGGCGAACGGCCGGGTACTGGATGGCGGCGGCGGTGGCGGCAGAAGAAGACATCCTGGCCACGGGGAAGGGGAGGCGATGGGCGGGGGACTGGGGCAGTGCAAGGAGGGCAGCAGGCGAGAGGGGCTCGGTCAGGGCTGAGCTGTGAATCGGGGAAGCAGGAACGCGGGCCGTGGCGGTGGCGGCAGCAGCAAGGCCCGGGTGGAGGAACGAGTGGGAGGCAGCACAAAGGACGGTCACCAAGCGGCGCGATCCAAACAGCATTGGCACTGGCAGGGGGGGGGG